CTGGGATGGGGGTCAACACACAGACATTTACACCAATGTTTTTTTTTTCTTCATCATCAACATACTCACACATTTATACTGTAATCAGACTGCTTACATAACCAATTTCTCACACAAAAATTTCATTTCATTCTTTCATTCTTTCTCCAAGCAGATCAATCATTACTTACAATTCTTTTCTGAGAGCTTTTTCTCACAAGCCAATGAGTTCAATTTTTTTTACTGTTGTTAGAGGGTCTCATCCTCCAGGTTTGGAAATGATTACACACAGACACATTCACACACACAACATTTCCAGACTTGGGGAGGTTTTGTCCCTTTAAATCTCCACTTTTTCTTTCTTTAGCAATGGGTTGTTGCCACTTCCCTTTTTCTATGACTCCAAGAGCCATATTATTCTTTGAGTCCACATACAAATTGAAAGATTTCTCAAAGTACATACAAATTGAAAGATTTCTTAAGTCCTATAACAAGAGCTTGAGCTGCTTTTTTTAAAAAAATCTCAAGCGTGTTTTTGTTTACATGTCCAAACAAAGGGTTCCCTTTCTCCCCCCTTTGTGGACTCATAAGAGTGGTTTGGCTAGCAGGGCAAAATTTCTACAATAGCCTGCTGCTTAAAAAAACTCCTGTCAGTTGGTTCTGCAATTCGGCACACAGCTTCCTTTTTCTTATGTCCTATAGCTCTGTGGCCTTGACTTATAGTATAACCTAAGTATTTAACTTGGGGTTTCACTAATTGGGCTTTCTTTCTTATTGCTTTAGTGAACTTGTCACTTTTACTTGAAGTTACACTCATTGTTAAGCACTAGATTTTTACTACCTGTCTCTGCCTTGGGTGTTCTGTCCCTTATCTTTCTAGTTTGGATCTCCCAGACGACACTGGCTTATTTTTAAAAATCCAAATTGTTCTCTATCTTATCTTAGACCTCCCAGACAATGCTGGCTTATTTTTAAAGATCAAGATCTATAGAGACCTTCTTTGACACCTTGTTTGCACCTGGCCAGGGCTCTCATGAGCAAGTTTGAACTCCACTTTTCTTTTTAAAGACAACTTTTACTGTTTAACATGTCCCCATGGTCTCCATGGAGAACACGGCCCTAATCTTTCCAGTTCCAGATAGACACTCCTATGCCTGTTTCCAAATATAACACCAACCTTATCTATTTCTCAGTCCTTAAGGAGTTTCACATTTCTTCTTCTTTAGCCAAAAGCATTTTACTATCTGCTGGGGCTCAGGTATTTCCCAATTTACGAAATACCAGGGTTTAAGATACGGTATTTCAATTTTTTTTAAGGTAGGTCTCTTGATTAGGTATTGTTCTAATTTACCCAACCAACATTTGCTTGTTTCCCCTAGATGATCCTACCTGTATTGTGGTTCCTCAATTATGTATTTTGCCATTTTTCAATGCACAAATTTATCATTCTGTTCTTACTTAAACTTTTAGTCCAGGGGAGTAGGTTTTCCTCACTCCACTGGCTCAATAACTGCTCTAAAGGGTATTTTCACGCCCTTACGTGTTAGAATCATCCCTAAGGGTTCGCTCTACCTCCTGCAGCAAGAAAGTTAGCTGCAACAACTACAAGAATTCCCCATTCTTGTCGAGATTCCCTAACCTGTGTAACTGCCCCTCCTCTTTGTCTTGAATTGCTTGTGCAATGGGGCAAGGGTAACTTCTCTGCCGGAGACAAACAGGTACTGCCAGAGGCTTCACTTGAATGACTAGCGGTATATGGTACACCTGGTGGATATATCCTGGTGGATTACCTTTTGCCTATAATTGGTGCACATCAAACTCCTGCCAAGTATCGAGGACTCAAACCTCTTGGGCCACCATTACTTGCCACATCTCATTTGGAGAATGCCTCATGACTAGTGCCATTTTATCTTCCTCAAATGACAAAGTTTCCCCCATTTTGCATAACATGTCCCAGCCCAATAAGGGAATGGGACACTCAGGCATGTATCGGAATTGATGTTCAATGTCTCTTCTATTCAGGGAACATCTCAGGGGCTTTAGAAAAGGGTGGCAATTTACAAAGCCATCAACCCCTTGTATATTTATAACATCAGCAGAAAAGGAGAGCCAACAACTTAGTAACTACAAATCTAGATGCCCCCTATCTTCATTCAGACCAAGGGTTCAGGGGGGGCTGAAGAGGTTCCTTAGGCCTAACCCCTTGATCTGTTTTTGGCATTTCCTTTTGTATTCCCTGCACTCCTGCCCTGGGAACTTGATTATTGCCATTATCAACATTGGGGGGCGGGGAGGAGATTATCTTCTTCATAGGGTTCAATTTTCAAGATAGGTTTGATTTTAATCTGACTCGCCTTGATCTGAGATCTGGGATTTCTATTAATTTGGGCCATGCAGACCCTCATGAGTTCGACTCAGCATTTGCGAAGCCATTCAGGATTCTGTTTTACTACTACTTGCCACTGGTCAGTATACTGGTGTTGATCTGGGTGACCATTATCTGGGTCAGTAACAATCTGGTGTACTTTTGAAATGATGTCTAGATTAAAACTGCCTTTGGGCTTCCCTTTTTAAAATTCCTCAGCATACACTGAAGAGGTGTCCAGGGGACACTTCCCCCACCACCCATTTCTAGACACTGCCACTGACCTGTGATGCCGGATGTTCCAATGGTCACAAACAGGAACTGCAATGGCTTAACCACCCACACAATACTAGGGCCTCATTAGGATTCACTGATCCCAGCCCCCTCTTCCACTTTCAAGCGAGTGGGTCTACAATTCCCCAATACTTATACTTGCCTGCAGGCGTCTTCTTTCCAGCTGGTGTTATTTCATGACTTACTTTTGATTCCATTTAGGTTCTTGGATTGGTTGGTTGTCCATCCCTACCGTGCTGTCTGCCCCTTCCTGATAAATCATCTGTGCCAGCTGAAGGGTCAGCGAGACGGCCCCGGCTGGGCACCGGTCAGTCCGTGCTGTCCTCAGCGAAATATCACTCTGAGTTCCAGTGGAATCACCATAAATGTTGCAGGAAATTACAAGACTCAGACCTTGGAATCCAAAAATAAGTTGGTTTTATTTGCACAAACAGGTTCAGAATATTTTAGCCAGTGCCATTTCTGAATAAATTTCTTATAGAACAACACATGCCTATATAGTTCTTCAGAAGGGGCAAAATACAGAAATATAACTTGTCATTCATTCATTGGTTACTTGAAACGCAGCTTTCCCCCTCCCCTGTTGCTAGGCTAGGATGGCTGGATGTCACGAACCCATCTTGCTAAACTCCCTAGCTTGTGGTTTTGTTCCAAGCGAGACAAGGTTTCTTGGCAAATATGACTTTGTGACTGATAGATGATCCTTATGGTTTGGCTTTTCACACTTCCTTGTTCTTTCTCTTGCTAATACCACATATTTCACTATCTATAAAATTTGTATCATTATTTCTCTAAAATTAATATATTTTATGTCCTGCCTTAATATGATATTTAAAAACCATTTTATCATCAAACTCTATTCAGAGATTTGTTAAATCAGGAGAACATTACAAATCTTCAGAAAATTTATTGCAAATAAAGATTATAAAATAAAGAATTACTAAAAGTAAATCTTACTCTGATTATGTTTTCAGTGCAGATAATTTATTTTAAACTATGTAAGCGTTGTTTTAAATAGCAAGCCTCTAACTCAACCCTTTTCCAAAATACATCTTTTTGGGGAAGGTAGGAAACAGCAGAAATTATTTATACATTATTTCAAATAATTTTAGTATGTTTCTATGAATATTCATAGTTTTTTGCATGCAATGTATAAATTAAAATGCAAAAAGACCTTTTAACAAACTGTCAGTTTCTGTTCCAAGGAATATTTTGAAGACCATTAAAATAGCCTTTGATCATTTCAAACTTTAACAAATTCTCCTCCTTGACATTGAAATGTAAGATATTTTTTCCTTTTTCATTAGATCGAGATCACATCACAGATTATTATCATGCAACTCCATGCCACCATTCCAGTAAAGACAGTATATTCTGGCTTCCACTGAAGGAAAAACAAGGTAGCACTTTTATGGTTTAAGTTTCTAAAGGACACTTATGTAACTGTGAAATTATATGTTATGTAACTCAAATTCACTTTATAGTTGTATGCAGGCACAACCATTTTACAGTAGAAAAATTGTTGGATGTTAGAACAGTTTTAATATGAGGGATCACTTCTACTTGAATTGAAAACTATCTGTTTGTATCAAATATACAAGAAAAATGTGGTGTAAGCCAGTATCTAAACGTATATAACTAAACTCTACCTTCTGTTTTCATTAGATATATTTCTAGTCATATAAAAGCATTACAAACACAGTCAGTAACCCAAAGTAGTATTTTAGGAAATTTATATTGAATAAGCTCTAGATATTAAAATATGATCTGTGTTTAATATTCATTGTTTATTTTGCATATTAGATCTATATATTAGATTTCTATAGCCTGGGATTATAAAAGTGTGTACCAAAAGACCTGTAAGGACAGATACAACCATGATGAATATTTCTCCTCACTGTCTGTCATGGCTGAATGGAAGGAGAGCTCTCCTAAGTACATTGCTTTTATTAATAATACTACTCTGATTATAAAAACTTTCTATTTTACTGCAATTCTGGCATCAGTTCATAATGTTGGGGGATCTCACTGCAGTGTCCACCACCTGCAACAATTATAGTCAGAGGTACAACTAGTGATCCAAGTGGCCTTCCCCTGGTGGAGTTTTGAGGGCCTTAAAAATGTTGCTTTTTACCCATGGTTTTTCTAAGATGGGTGCAGCTCTTCTGGGAAGTAGGTGCCTATTTTCCTGCTCCCCAATTTTACCCTGTTTGCTTTCTGGGTTACCTTATTTTACTGCCACATTTTTTAAAATAATTTTTTATTAATTTTCAATAAACAAACATACACAAACAAAACACAAAACATGAAAACATAAAACTTCTTTTTGGAAAGCGGCTTAGTCCCGGGTTACATCTTTTTGTACAGACATAAATCAAATTCATGCTCACTTTATCATTTCATATCTTTACCATTTCATATCTTATTTACCATTCTACATTTTCTATATAGCTTCTCCCCTCTTTTCACTCTCTTAATTCTATTTTATTTATTTCATCTCAATTTAAAGCATTATGCTTGTATCTTTCATCTGTTCTATTTCAATTATCTATTATCTTTTCTCATTAACACAAAATTTCTCCTGTAATCACTGATTGAAGTATGACACCTTTATATCTTTCCCCTAAATTTAACACTTAAAATAATATATAATTTTCATTCTGATTCTGCTTAGTACATTCTAAAGCTACGTACTATATTTTAAAATAGGAAAATAATAAGTTTATAATATAATTAAAACAATAATCCATAGCAAATTAAACTCTATCATTAAATCTTAAACATTTTACACATTCCTTTTAATATTTTATCCCATTTTATAATCATATAATGTTCCAGTTTTCTAACATTATTTCAAATACAAATACAACAATACAGTCTTATGTACTTTTGCAGAATCTCTTTTTTAATCATATTTTTACCCATTATCTCTGAATAAATCCTGTTTCTTTACATCTTGTTTCAAACCTTTGTAACTTCTCTTCCCTTTTTCCCTTCCTTTCTTCTCCAATCTAGCCTTTTTACGCCCCCCCATCTCTTGATCTCCACCCTCTTAATCTCCACCCTCTTCTGTATTCCTCTTTTCTGTTGCTTTCTGACTGTCAGTGTGTTGTGCTCCCTTCAAGATCCAAGAAAGAAATACTCAGACTCCATGGATTAGAGCAAAGTTCTCCTTTTACTGGAAATCAAAGTGGAAGCTACAGATTGAATTCCGAATCTGAGGAATTGGCGCGCAGATCACATATACAAAGGAATGGAATTGTTCGCACCCCCAAAGTCCAAATGACTCTTCCAATTAAAAGTTCTGAATATGATCATGTGGGCATCTTCAGGTGGTGATGAGGCCTCTGTCCGTTGACCTTGACATATTTTGATAAAACTTCGCAGCTGCGCAAAGGGAAAGAAACTAGCAAGGAAATAGAAAGTTAAAGACAGGAATTTATACACCCCCTCCCCTTTCTTACCCACACACAAGAATGTAACACCTCCAGCTTTCTTCCCCTCCAAGTCCCCCCTCCCCCGTTGCTAATGACAGCCGAAAGAAATGAGCATAGCAGCAAAGAAGATGCAGCAGATAGAGATAGATAGGATGCAGAAGATATAAGATGTAGAAGATATCTTGAGGCTGACATTGACATTGTATCGATTTTTCACCTTATTTTTCCCTTTTTTGGTTGTTTTTTTAAGTCTTAAATTCTCCATTCTCTTTTCCCCCTTTCCCTTTTCTTCCCCAGCTAAAGTTGTTTGTTCATTAAAGATGGCTTCTTCTTCTTCATCCCAACCTTCTTGTTCTTGTAATTTCTGATAGGTAGAAATCGCCATTTCTAAAAAATGAAAAACAGATCCAGAAGAGCCCTTCCCTTCTTGTTCCTCTTCTTTTAGCTTTTCAAATTCCATTTTCAGTTCATCAACAAGTAATGCCATTGTGAAAAATTTTTTTAAACAACCCAAATGTTTTAGTCTTTCAAATAATAATTTCCAAAGGTCCCACAGTTCAATTGCAAAGTTCCAAAATATATCTTTTAGAAGTCTTGTTACAATTTAACTCTAGTCTTGTTACAATTTAACTCCAAGCAGCCTCCTCCAGCAAAATCTTAATATTCTTTTCCTCTCCCTTCCCACTTATAGCAAAAAAAAAAAAAATTCTTTCCAATGTTCAGAAATCTTTAATGTCCCCTTGGCTTTAATTTTCAAATTTAATTACCTCCTGGTGCCAAAACGGGATTTTCCGATTTCCATCTGCTATCACCGTAAGGAAGGAGAGTGAGAAAAAACAAACTTTCCCTTTTAACTTTCATCCACCGCTTTTTCCGATCTTCTTTGGGAACGATGTATCTTTAATGAAATTAAAATTCCTGGGTATTTAAATGTTACTTATTATCCCGGTCAGCCAAAACTTTCACTTCTCAGCTTCCTCCTACACATTCTTATCCGGATGAAAGCTTCTTTGTGGTGGCCATTGCTTCACCGCTTTCGGAAAAGGGAGTTAAGCCAGCTGAGGAGGGGGGTTGCGATTCCCCCGGACCCCTGCTGGATCTCCCCTGTCTTCAGTTACCTCTACGGGGTAACTATTAGCCCCCAAATCCGGCTGGATCAGGGGCACTCCAGCGGCGAGCGCAGCAGAAACCGCGCATGATCGCGGATTCCTGCCGCCGCCGCAGCCTTGTAAACCGGAAGATCCATTTACTACCACATTTTTTGATAGTTGTATAGTTCTGTTTCCCCCTGCCCGCCGAAACAACCCAAAGTTATTTGAAGTTAGGCAATACAAAAAAAGTTATGTTTTTTATATTTATTTATTTTAACCCTATTCAAATCAAATGGAGTGAATCTTCAACATTTCATATGGTGGTCATCTTACAAACTGCTTAAACACCTTATTGCTGTTAGTGCTTATTAATGTCCCTAGTGTCAGCTTTGGTATCTAAAGCATCATAATGAACCATAATGAATGGTATGTTTTTTATGGTAAGTTTTTTTTCTGGTTACTGCTTGGGCTAATACTCCTATCTTGATTGATTCGGTAACTCTTCCAAGTACATTCCAGTAATAATTTTGATCTCATCCACTTCATATATGGTGTTTCTTTTTTCACCTTTGCCAAGCATTTTTAGCCCATCATCCACTCTGATCACATATAAAAAATATGTGAGTTTTCCTAGCTGACCAATATCCCCCAAAATTACTAAGTTTAATTAATCAATTCTTCTCACTATTCACAGTAGTCCTGATTGATTCTTATAATCGGTGGTGGGATTCAAATAATTTAACAACCGGTTCTCTGCCCTAATGACTGGCTGGGTAAGTGTGGCTGGGTGATCATGTGACTGGCTGGGCGTGGCCAACTCGACATCACTCACATCAAGAAGAGCCTCACCTTGCCCAGCCTCTCTTCACCATGCCCGGTCTCTGGAGTGAAAGTATAAAGTGGAAGGCTCAAGGGCTTCCATGTCCCCCATATGAAAGAGACTAAAATGGTATTTAATGCCAAACTCTAGTCTAGGGGAAAGACTATTGCTTATCTTATAGTAATAAGCAGGGGTGGGATTCAAATTCTTAACAACCAGTTTTGTGGGCATGGCCTAATTTGTGGGTGTGGTGATCATGTGACTGGGTGTGGCTAGGTGGTCATGTGACTGGGATGGGGGTGGTTTCAAAAGATTGCTTAAGCTAGTTTGCATTCTATTTAGCTGATTTTATTGTTTCACCTTTTAACATTTTAAATGATTTAATATTAATTTATCTACGCTAGCAGTGTAAACATAGAACAGTGGGGTATAAATATTCAATACCACAAAACTTATTTCCAAACAGTGAACGTTATAAAACAATATTGATGATGTGCTACTGTTAAAGATCATACACTCTGATTGCTCTCTATAATATGATTTACCATTTCTACATAAAAATAGTACTTTTTAAATTTTGCTTTGGCATTTTATGCCTTCATTTTTTGATCATTACTTTCTGTTAATGCCTCTGGTAATTTCCAAAACACAACTTGCATTCTTTAAATAATAAGAAATAAATAGCCATTTTCTGAAATATATCTGAAGTGTTATCTCTCTTCCTTTTTTTAAATAATGTTGAAAAATGCTAATAAGATCTAAGTGACTTTGTCAGAGAAAAACACAAGCAAAATGTTGTGGCCCCGATTCCTGAGCCTATGCTATCAGAGGAAGAAGACCTGGAAGATGAGGAGGAGGAACTGGGAATGCCTTCCTCCCCAGGACCTTCCTCTCTGGCAATGCCTTCCTCCCCGATAATGCCTCAGGTTTCATCAGACAACCGAGAGGAACAGCCTGAGATTAATCAGGAGGAAGGCATATCGGAGCAGCCCCTGACAGGGAGTAAAGAGGAAGAGTGTTGGCTTGATCTTAAGCAGCGTTGTAGGGAGAAACGTGAGCAGCAACATAGGAGGCGTGGGAGGGTCAGAGAATGAGCTGAGTCATTGAGCCACACCCCACAGGGGATAAAAATGGGTGTGTTTTCAGCTGGAACTTTGTACGGGACAAAGTTTAATCTTACTTCAGATTTTCTTCGTGAATGATTTTTGTGGACTGCCTTGTAATTTTCTGTGAGTAGATTTTTATTTGTTATCAGTTCAGACTTGGCAGGCAGAGTGTGTTGGAATGCCAAGGATATTATCAGTTCCAAAGAATTAACTCTGTGAAGTCCGCACCAGCTTGCCTGCCTGTGTTTGTGTGAGTTTGTATTCTTTCAACTTTTGGGAAAGAAGAAAAGTGAGACAGAACACAAAATATCCCCACAAATTATCAATTCCTCAATATTGGATTATTAGTTCCTAGAATAACAAATCATTCCTCTACCTAGACCTGTGATGGGAAACCTATGGCACACGTGCCAGAGGTGGCACACAGAGTCCTCTCAGAGAACACGCGTGCCATCACCAGCTGCTCTTCTGGTTTCTGGTGCACACAAAATGGTCTGACATGGCCTGAAAAACTGCCAAAAACGGCCTGAAAAACCACCCAAAAACGGTCCCTAAAACACCCAAAAAACAGGCATGTATGCACTAGGCACACACATGCACATACATGCATGCATATTCTCATTTGGGCATTCGGTGCCGTAAAGGTTCGCCATCACTGTGATAGTGGATTTTTTTTAGTGGAAAAGGGGTTCTTTATAAACAATTGTGTTTCCTTTTATGCTGCATATTGTTAAAATATGTAAATTAAGAGTAAATTAGTAGACAAACCAATTATTAATGCTGTTTAATTTTCTGCTTTTTAGGAATAATTTTACCTCAAAAAAGCAAGCTTGATATTCCTATATTATTTGCCCCTCTTTCTATGAAATTCTATGAAACTTTTCTTGTTATTGAAGTTAAGAAAATAGATGAAGAAAACTGGATTTATGATGACACATTTGAATTAAGGGAAGCAGTAAACAGGTATTTTAATCATTAGATATCCATAAGTAATGTTGGTTTAAATTTGAAATCATTATGTGAATGTAGTTGATAAATTTATTTAATAATTTATATAATTAAATAATAATTATTTAATAATTAATATAGAATATTTCACACATTAAATTTGAACAAGTATAGGACATGTTAAGAATTTCATTATATAAAACTTAAAAGATAATTCTGTACTGCCTAAAATTATTAGACTGTATAAGTATATCAAAATCAGTTTTGGTTATATGATCAGACAACTCTTTCATAAGATTTGTCAGCTACCCAAGAGAGTATGGATACTTTTTAGCCAAATTGCCATCTTTGCTGTTTTAAGCAAATTAAAGCATGCCTGATCTAATTATTAATTGCGGGAGTCAATATCTCTGTTATAAATAACCTGTGCTTTGCTACAAAACTATGTGATCAGGCTTAGTTTTTGGGAAGGAAAATAAGGGGGGAAATGTACTTCTTCCTACCAGCATCCATTGGTATTCATCTGGCTAGCGTCCTGTCAGTGTGTGAGAGTTGAGGGCTGTTTGGAAACTGAAACAATATTTGCTGTGTGAGCAAGAAGGAGACAGCAAGGAGTCTGGGCATGGCTTAGCTAAACTGTTCTGTTAAAGCTGGTTGCTGCTGTAAAACTGAAACTCCTCTCCTCTGCTTGTGTTTTGCATTTGGAACAGATTTCTTTTCAGATGGGGAGGGGGAGTAGAACTCCTTAACATCAGAGCATATTAATATTAATATACAAAATGCTAATGTTCCAAAGGTCATTTTGAAATCCTTTCTCAGTGAGCACCTAAAAGCCAAGAGGAACCTACGTGCCAAATTTCAAGTTTGTAGGCTTTACAGGTCTGGAGATTTTGTGATGATGCATGAGTGATATTTTGCTTTTATATGCAAGAGATACAAGAAATTTCAAACAAGTGTTAAATAGATAGATAAGGCCACAAAGTAATTATTGTACTAGATTTTTTTAAGTGATAATATTAATATTTGCTTATATTTCTTAGCCAAACTGTAATAATAAAGGATGAAGAACTTAAAGGACTTCGTTGGATCTACCCAATTTATGGAATTCCTGAAGCTCCACCCAATGAATCATCTCCAGGTATCAATGAGCAATTACATTAAAATTGGGTTGAAGAAAATGAAAAAAAACATTCTCTAGCTATGATCCAAGCTAAAATAAACAGAATAGTAGATAAAGAGAACTTAGCACAAACAATCAAATTATCAAGTAAATTACAATTGCTATTATAACCAATAAGTTCCTTCTTGTGGTATAGTCAAGAAATGTGGTTTTGTGTACAGCATGCATATCCCATTCAATATGTAATAGGGCTTGAAAAACTGCTATTGTCCTGGAAAACTGGAAGATAACTCAGGATTGCCAAAGTAATTCCATACAAATGAAACTCTCTCCAACTATCATTGCCTCTACTACTTTTTCAGCAGTTTCTTTGACAGTAGTTTATGCAGAAAGGAGAATAGCTAAACACATTTTCCCCTCTGTTTGGCATTTACTGTTTCAAAAAGAGAAAAATTAGCAGGTTGGAGAAGAGAAACTTCTCTTTCTCCCTATTACAATAGATGAAATAATAGTATGCAAGGATTGAGGCTGATGGAAATTAGAAAGTAGATACAGGAGGTTAGTTATTCTCTATTTTGAATTTAAATACAATTTAAATAATAATTTAGGCATAATATGAGAATTTGAGAATTTATAATTTGCCAATCCACAATTATGCATTAAGAATTTTCCATGAATAACAATCATTGGAGATTTTAATTTATTAACTTTAATGTAATGAGAGACTTGAAGCATAGCCAACACTATCTTGGATCATTGCTGCCATCTCATTACCTTAGAGCAGGGGTGTCAAATTCACATCATCACGGCAGCTTCACATCAGGACTTATTTCCCCCTTCGCTAAACCAGGCATGGGCATGGCCAGTGTGTGACACATCCGGCCCGCAGGCCAGGAGTTTGACAGCGCTTCCTTAGAGTGTCAAATCAATTGTATCTTAGCATGAAAAAGCTGAACCAAGAATACTGAAGGTATTGTTTGATATGGCACTTTTCCTAAGTGCAGTTGGCTCTGCCCTACATAATTTACTGCCCACTTATGACCCTGTTTCCCCCTCCTCCTAGGGCAGTGGTGGCTAACCTTTTTGGGCTCCTGTGCCAAAAATTGTGCGCGCACTTGCATTCTCGCACTCGTGTGAGAAGAAGGCAATGCATGCCCCCCCTGCCCCGTATGCATGCATGAGCAATCCCCCCCCGCTGCCATGCACTTACCTGCACTGCATCTCACAGCTGATTTTCGGCCAGTTTGAGGTCTTTTTCAGCCTCCCAGAAGCTTCAGGAAGGCTTCTGCAGGCTTTTCAGGACAAAAACTAGGCCCATTTTGTTACTTCCTGTTTTTCTGGAGGCCAAAAAAAACCTCAAACTGGCCAAAAATCAGCTGTGAGGTGCACGCATGCACAGTAAGTTTGCCTGCAGCTCACGTGCTGGCATACATGGCTCTGCATGCCACCTGTAGCATGCGTGTCATAGGTTCACCATCACGGTCCTAGGGTGTGTCATAAATCACATTCTCCAATGGAGCACTTTTGCGGGCTGTAGAAAACACCTCTAGAATGTGCTTCTGGTCATAGCAACTGAACTGCTCCATCAGATCTCCCCCCTCCTTCTTATTGCAACTCGAGAGCAGGCCAGGAATGCTTTACGAGTTGACATTTGTCTCCCCTCACTTCCTAAAGGTGACCTGCGCAAAGCAAAAACAATTTGAGTATAGGTATAGAATTTAGGGGTGCAATCCTCCCCCAGCCTTGTTTGGATTTTCTGCATGGAATTTTGCTATAATGCCTGGATGTTCCTACTCTTTACCCAAGATGCCTCTGATAAGGTGTTGTCCTTCCACTTGATTAAGTATTGGAGTTTTCTCCTGTGCCACCTCGAATCGAGGATTTGCTGCACCTCATAATGGGTTTGGCCCCCTATGATCATGGGGCCTGGGGGCTCACAGGGAGCAGCCTCAGTGTTGATCCAACCACAGGTTTTAAGAGACTACAGGTTTTAAGAGATCATTTTTTCATTGTGGCACAGATGGTGCAACTTTTCACATAACTGTCAACATCTTTCATTATGCCAGGCCACCAGAATTGCCTCCATGCTAAGTGTAAAGTCTTTAAGAACCCGAAGTGGCCTGCTGGTTTGTCGTTGTGGCTCCTCTGGAGGATTAGGGTGTGTAGGGATTCTGGGACATAGAGTTTCATTCCCTTCCATGCTAGGTCATCTCTTTTTGTCAAGATGTGTTGGTTGTCTTGGAAACAGAGGTCTGCCAGCAGTTTGCTTTTGAGTTTCATGATTAGATCACTTCCTGGTCGTGGCATTGTCACCTGGTGGTTACTTGAGCAGCTATTTGGGCAGAGGGGATTATAGCATCTACTATCTTCTCCTGTTTGCATTTGTACTGGGGCATGCAGGAGAGGGCATCAACTAGAAAGTTCTGTCCCCTGGGTTGTGCTTTAGCATGAAGTCGAACCGATTGAAGTATTGAGCCCAGCGGACTTGTTTGGGTGACAGTTTTCACGGGATCCTAAGGGCCTCCAGATTTTTATGGTCGGTCCAGACTCCAAAGGCCTCTGCCCCCCTTCCAGTAGGCAGTGCCAGGTTAACAGTGCCCATCTCACCACGAAAGTCTCTTTTTCCCGTGCAGCCCATTGCCTCTCTGTGTCTGTGAGTTTGCAGGAAATGTGAGGCGCAGGGCTGTAGGTTTCCTTGGCTATTTCTTTGGAGTAGCACAGCTCCCACTGCCATGTCACTGGCATCTGCTTGGATGATGAAGGGTTATTCATGTTGGGATGCTTCAGCACTGGTTCTTTTGCAAACAGTTCTTTCAGTGTTTCTGTGATGACCCAGGGCGTGGCACAAAGACAACACAGTTACATAAGTAAGAAAAGTCCCTTTAATACCTCCAACTTTGCCCCCAATGTCCAGTTAACTTTGGCTGGAGAAAAAACTCTCCCAAGAACAGTCTTTAAGTGGAGGAAATTCAGTCCAAAAAACAAAGTACATATAAACTGTAAATAAAAATCCACAAAAACCACGCTGCAGCAATTAATTGGACAGGGCAGGATAAGGAATTGCAGACTTCAAAGGCCAACAAAACACACACAGTTGGGAAGATGCCACGAACCCAGATAAGCCTCAACCATAAAAGATAATTCATGATTTGCTTCCCACAAGTTGCTGTGTGCAAACTCCCTTTAAAAACACTGTGTTTCCAGCTGTAGTTAATGAAGGGAATTTCTTTCCCTTCCTTTCCTCCCACATAAGCCATGCAACTCATGTTGCTCCCCTTTCCATTCTTCCCTGCATGCCCTAGGATGAAGAGGGGGTGAGCCTGAATCTTCCTCTGAATTCCCTCTGCCTTGTTCTATCTCTCCCCTGCTCTGCCCAGCCGAATTTTGCCCTTCCCCAGTTTCTTCCACAGCCACTGGAGCCACACTCCCACTCCCTGTCAGCTGCTCAGCCTTCCCCCTCGGAATTAGATTCTGACGGGGCATGACAGTTTCAAATGCCTTTTGGCAGGTTAGGTCCCACTGTAAGGGTTGTCCCAGGCAGAGTTTCATTCCTGGGCTCCCTGTCTTTAGGAGGTCTGTCATGGGTTTGGCAATCTTCGCAAAGGAGGGGATGAATTGCTGATAGATGTTTGTGAACCCTAAGAAGCTTTGTAGCTGTCTGCAGGTGCAAGGATGCTTCCAGCCTAGGACGGGTTGTACTTTGGCAGGATCCATCTCTATTCCCTCATTTAACACCCGGTAGCCCAGGTGGCCTAGCTGTGCATGGTGGAATTCACATTTTGATAGCTTGATGTACAGGTTGGCTTCCAGAAGTTTTCTCAGTACCTGATGCACCAAGGGTACATGGTTGTCCATAGTCGCAGTGTAGATGAGGATATTGTTCAGGTAGATGAGAACGCCCTTATAGAGGTGCTCATGAAGCACCTCGTTTATTGAATGAAACCCGCGGGGCACCTTGCAGTCTGAAAGGCATCACTTTGAATTGGAAGCTCCCTAGGAGCAGTTGAATGCATTCATCTCCCTCTCTGATACTCAGTAGTATGCTTCTCTGAGGTCTAATTTGGTAAAAACTTTTCCCTTGGCCAGGTGGCATGTCCTTCATGAGAGGGAGGAAGTATAGGTTGTGTACACACACACTGTTTATGCCTCTAAAATCTATGCATAATCTCATAGTTCCATCTTTTTTCTCTTTGAACAGGACTGGGGCTGCGACCCATGGCTTGGCTGGCTTGATGAACCCCCTTGCTAGGTTTTTGTATATGTATTTGCGCATTTCTTGCATTTCCTGGGGTGTCATGATGTACAGTTTGGGCTTGGGTAGTTTTGCCCCAGGGATTATTTCAATGACACAGTCTGTCATTGGAGAGGCAGGACGTTGCACTCGGCCTCGCTGAATAACCTCGGGATCTGTTCGGCCTCTGGAGTTTTGTCAGAAATGGCTTCCAGTTCTTCTGGTGGGCCCTTTGGGAGGGTATCCCTGCATTGGCGGTGCTTTTATCTGCTGGTGGGGAGGAGGTTGGGGTCCCCTTACTATCCTCAGTCTGTAGCTGCCCCCTTGCCACCAGATGGTCAATCCCCACTTGTCCAGCCAGGAGAGTCCCAATATGACTGTGTCTGTCATTTTTAGGGGCTATTATGAATCAAATTACTTCCAAGTGATATGCTAGCTCTAACCTCACTGGTTCAGTCAGATGGGTGGCATAGGCTTCCCCCAATAGGGACCCATCAACCTGTTCGAACCAGATTGGGTGGGCCAGTCTTTTCGCTCTGATGCCCAATTTCAGGACCGTAGTTAAGTTGATCAAGCATCTAGTGCATCTAGAGTCTATTAGGACTTGAAAAGTCCTGTGGATTCCTTTTTTGGGGAACTGTTAGGCATGTTGGAAAGACAAAAGGGTGAACTGGTTCACTCACCATTGGGTCATTTTAGCCCTCGTCCTCGCTGCTGTAGGATTCTGGTGACTGGTCATAATTGCCTGGGGTTCCCCCCTTTTCGGCTGGGTGGGGAGGGA